AAAACAAACATGACAATTAAAGCAATTTGGTATTCCAAAGAGTTGTATTGGAAGATACCTACTTTTGCATCAACACATAACATTTTGGTGTTCAGTTACATTCATAGCAGGCCAGTTGTTACAATTTTCGTGGCCGCAAGACAATACATACTTTCTATTATCAGATTTCGGTTAAAGGGATTAATTGGTCAAGGCTCTTAAAATGTGGATACCTTGAGCCAATAGGATCAAGTTTGTATTTGATTGGATATTCTTACTCTACATAAATAACAAAAAACCGCACATCACATCACATATCACATAACACTTAACACCGGCGGTAATTTTGTATACATTTTTTTTTATTTTCATAACGTTTGGTATTTCGTTCCTAAACATGAAGATTTCCACAAAAAATTAACATTATCACGCGTGTTTTATACATAATTCTCATGTCCGTGTTTTCTTCATGATAACTAAACGCTGGCAATCATGACTTGGAGACAAGTGGCACAACCTTATCTTCGCCACTAGTGTTTTAAAGCAAGTGTAAACAGCTCAAGAAATAAATACAAGTTTAATTATGCAATTTGTAAATAAATTACACATCAATGGCTGTTATTACATTAGTTTATTAAGGTAAAAATGTGATATATTCACATGGATCAATCTAATTTAAGCCCTGTAATTTTAAAATCATGTTTAAGATTTTATTTTTGTAAATTCTTTGTTGTCACAATTGTGTTAGTAGTTAGTCTATTTCCTTTACATTAACAGTTAATGTGTGTTGTACTTGTATGAGACGGTAATTTTTTGTTTTTCTACATATTAATTTTGGCAAATATTTCGTCATGAAGCTTTACTGTCACTTGTGTTTATTTTCAAACAAGTAGTAGGCAAATTACGATGCCACAATGCATTAAAACTACCCTGGGTAGCATTTTGCAAAAAATTGTGACATCAGTATAGCTTAATCATCGTTACTGTTGAATTCACTTTCTCTCAACGATGAACTAATGACTAAAATGACTAATTATCAAAATTTCACCAAATTGGTTTATCCTAGTCTCAAAAGGCCGCTGTCGCACGCATAAACAGGCCTTTGACCTCTAGACACAATTGGTCCAAAATTCCTGATTTTATTTACCTTAAATGTATGACTGGAACTTTAAACTTAGCAGAATGGAGCTGTCTTACATATACTATGGCAAAATTTGCATTGTAATTGATGCGTCTTGATTGGCTGGAAATGAAATAGCAACTTTTCAGATTCCAGTGAACTGATTTGTATCACAACCCATTTCAACGATTTATTTGGTAGCCAAAATATTTTGAATTTCAATGAAAGAATTAAATTCTCACATTTAAAAAGACAACCCTTTGGTAATGAGTTTAATTAAGACATCAATCTCCAAGCCCGAACATGCAATAACGCATGTATATATTTACTTTTAAACTGTTTGAATTTTAGAAATGCTTCTAAAACACGTGTCCATTTCTCTGAGTTGCTTAGTGGTGACAGCACTTGCTTTGCCCTACTTTCCAGAGAATCTCTTCTTGGGTGAGTTAAAATCTGATGGTGCATAGAACCCCGTGCATTTAAGTATAGCACATGCATAATTCACAATCGAATACGTAAAGCAATTCAATTAGTCATGATTGAAAATAGCAACTAAGGTTCATTGTCATTGCAGTAATTTTTTCTGTGGCAGCGGCCTCATTCAATAGGACAGAACAGTCTAAAATGGAAAAACAATTTCAAGCGGGATAGTTTTCTGTTTAGAAATTTTTCAAAGAAAATCGCTCGTGCTGATTACGTCGGTCCTGGAAATAAAACTTATAGTGACTAGATGAGGTAATCAACAGGCAAAAACGTGTCGACTACAATCTAAGCCATGAATAAGATCCAGAAAGGTTAACATTAAATGCTTAGCGGTTATCTTGGCACATCTAAAAAAGCGTCAGATTGTAACCACTTTTAAATCAAGGCTGGTTTGCATGTCTTCTAGACTATTGGCTGATAAAAAATCTAACATTTATGAGGTGTACAGACTTCTAAATTAGTGGAAAGCATATTTCGTTTCACAGTTTGCATTTGCAATAGCCCTTTGTAGTTAAGATCTGCTAGTTCATTTCCAAATCAGTGTGTTCCTGTTAAGTGTAGAGAACTGCTTAAAAGTATTTTTTAATCTTCGTGTGGTGCTATCGTAAATGAGTAATTTAGTGGTAGCAAAAAATTTATTTTGCACGTTAGGTCGTCACCCCCAATTGGTATTTAACAAACTTACATTATTGTATGCAAATTATTCGCCGTCAAATTTGAACTGCATTAATAGTGAGCTGTGCACATTTTCAAAATGTGTTAAATTACAGGGCTCGTTAAATTACAGTGCGCTCTGAACCGCTTTCTGTACTCACGCCTTGCTGTATGAACACAAAAATTCTTTGACTTAACTCAAATTTCCAATAAAGGTTTGCCTGACAAGGCGTCTACCAGTTTTGAAAATACAAAGAGAGCTAGTACTTTAATGAAGAGACTAATGACTTGTAGTGGCTTGTGGTCTAAGCACTACCTTACAACCCTCTAGTTAAAAGCACGCAACAACCCGAGAATGGAGAGAAGAGAGGCGACATTGGACACGACCGTTTATTGACGTCACGCCAGCCAAGTGTGGATGGGTGAACGGATGACAGGCGTCTGATACAGTAACCAATGAAAAGGGGATGAGTCATTGTCACCGTCAGGTTGGTAACCAGGGTTCACTCAGGCGCGATCGCTGTTAATCCGCTACAGACTTCACAGGAAAAATTTACCCATCATAGCAATACGTAGTACTTTAAACACAGTTAGCTATCTAGATAAGTAATCACAAGAACCTTTGCTTATCGCAATCAATTTTAAAAATAAACAGTACAAAAGCCAGATATTTTATAGAAATCCACGTAACTAATTTATGTGGGACATATCGATATGAGTTCACTTCTGGTCAACTAGTTTTGACACAATATTAAAAGTAACTCCTAATGACAGTCCAGTTATCTTGACTGTATCCATGTAAACAATTTGTTTTAGTGTCAAGTGATAATGTTGTGTAAATTTATTCGAAAGACTTGTTGAATTTGTCAAAATAACCTCAAATGCTGTAATTCTATTTTAATTATCAGATTATTTTTATTGTCTGGTTAAAAAACCCGTCTAATACAAGAGAAGGGTTTTTATTCAAAGTGACAAGATAATTTGCGTGACTTTTGGTGACGGTAAGTAGCTGCATAAATGAGTCTTATTAGTTGGATTTCAGTTAAATCTCTTCCCTGTTTATTTGTCTAAAATAAGTCAAAATTTTAGGCGATAGGCAAGGTCACCTAGAACTACTCGACGCCGACCTGATTTTCGATCCCAGGATCAAATACTTGATGACAATCGCAAGAAGAGGTAAGATGTCTAAGCGTCACCAAATTACACCTAGATCGCCGAGCCCACCGTGGATTCAGTGGTTATGATGACATCTACAAAGAATTTTCACTGCCTCAGCCGGAATTTCTCGGGTGACAAGCGTCATTAATATTATGATTAATAAAAATTAGCATTTATTTGTTAATTGGCAGGATTTTTAATTTATTTCCACAGAGCAGACGGCCTCAGTGGGTGGCATTACTACAGGAGGGGAACTTTGCTGTCAAGTGGTTATCTATACCTACTAACCATCATAAAGTAGGCCTTACAAGGGCAAAAAGCTGCTGAGCACATTACCGATCAGTTTTTCAATACCTCTTGTAGTATTCTGTGGCCATTACTTAGAATTCTACAAAACACATTTGTAGGTTTTGCAACTAACAACCAATAAATAAGAGCTCTGAGGAAAGAAATCCTGATTCCCTGTCTTTTTTCAAGGAAATCGAGTCCTTCAAATATACTTGCCACCAACAGATCTAAAAATTCACAATTACTCCCGTGGGAAACTGACCTGAAGTGGCATGATCTGCTCTGTGTATTGTTTTCTTGAACACACCCTGTCATTTTACTGTTTATATTGGTACTTTTATCAACAATCTAACAATAAAAGGGAAGTTTGTAAAATAATCCTATCAAAAATAACGCGATAAGTCCACAGGTAAACACGGTACAATTTGTGGCAACTTGAGTGTGAATAAAAGTACGTGGGCGTGCAGAGTACTCAGGTTCTGTGCTGGCGTGTACTTGGAATTATTCCTAAATTACCACATTTGACCTGTTTTAACAGATTTTGTAGGCTAAACTTGGGGAACTTGGCCACTGTTTACAGCCAGCTTTTCATAAACAGTAAAAGCTGTACCTATTGTTTCTGCATAATAAAGTGAAGGGAAATGATTTTGCACAAACAAGTCAGCCTCTCCTAATTCATTTCCCTCAATTTGTAATAAAAGGGATGTTTTCTAAACCAATCAATTTTAAGTTGGTGCTGTTAAAGGAGCCATGAAATTACCGCTGCGCTGTTACTTGTAATAACAAGTCTTGTAAACTCGTGCAAGCTTTGTCGTGTGTGATTGGGAAATGTCCACTCCTTCAAAATCTCGTCAGCACACAAATGTGAAACGACGTCTAATTTCCATTCGTTTTCGAGAACACTTAAGGTGTGAGCCACTACTGAGGCCTTAACACGATAAAGCGCAAGCAGGGACATATTAAAATCTACCGAGTTTCTCAAAAATCAGAGTTTTAAAACAGTAAAATCGAGTTCAGAACACGTACCAGAATAAAAGTGCAATAATGCAGGCTCCAACTGAGATTCTCATTGATTGTGCACAACAATTGAATATCTAAACCACTGTTTGAGTAATATAACATTGTGGAATCAATTTACAATTCACTGTGTAGTTAATAAAACGCCAAGAAATAAATACAACCTCCAGTTTTCTTTCAATTTTACTGGTTAATTGTTTGAAAAATAAATGTATTTGATGTATATAAATCGGCTCGTGACATTACTAAAAGTGGCAGATGGGCACTCTGCTGTGGAACAGTTTCAGGGCAAAAGTTTGGTTCAAAACATTGCATGACGGCGGAAGTTGGCATCCAGCACATCTTTTAGCGCGGTCCTCGTTGTCCCCTTCATTTCGTCGATATCAAGTAGGCACACGGTATGGGAAAACACACGACCGGACTTCTGTCCCCTATCGGTGCATTTTGATAAGAAAAGCTTTTGCTGATTAGTAATGCAGAGTTTCGGATCGGTCACACCTAAAAGAACAAGATGCGTCTGAAATGAGAAAAATGACCAGAAATGATTGCACTCGAGAGATTTTTCAGTCCGAAGAATGCGCTAATAGCTAGGTTTCGTTAAATTTCGTCGAGAGAAGTAATAGAACATAAAATAAATAGTCTTTGTGCGTTATTAACGAGGTTGAAGGTCATGCAAATACTATGACTTAAAGAGGTCGGTTATGTTTTCTCGGGCGGAAGAACGAGCCGCGTTCATGTGCGTTAAGTACACTCATTCCAAGTCGAGATCTCGTCTAATTATCTTGCAGCTTTTAGACCGGGGGTGGAAGGATCGTGAGCGAATTCTCGTGACGGGACTTCGTCGAGACCTGTTTTCACTAATTGTTGATTAAAACAATCGACGCCCGATCCACGGCTTATGTCCCAATGTTCGTGTGTTTACTTGGTGTCGTGCTCACACGCACACTCCGGACACATCATCCAGTCTTGTCGACTAGTTTGAACAACAGTTAGCTTGTTGGCCAAAATGGTGCACAATTGACTAAACTCCACCTGTTCTTTTATGTAGTATCCTCAAATCTAACCCACCAGCCTCAACAGCCTTTGGGAAACTTGACAAACGCCAAATTTGTCCATGAGAAATTATGACTACGGCCAGTGTTTTAGTCCTTCTTTGTGACTGCGTGATTAGCTTCTAGGGCAAAAACCAGTCACGCAGGCGTGCGTGATGCGCTAAAAGGGAATTCTCGGCGGCCGACTTTCAGGATTGCCATATATTCCACCAAACAGGCAGTAAAGATTTGCATGTCTTTCAGCTTAGCAGTAATGCTGTTAACCTAGAAAACTAAAAGCATAATTGTAGCACGCACAATCTAATATTTTCACGTTGTGGGAGAGTGTCCTGTGTCGCAGCTCTGGGGTGAAATAAAGCCAGCATAACGCCTGCCGACGCATCTAAATCCCCGTGCAACTTTCACTTAAATTAATATAATCTGAATCGATAGTTAATACAGTTCTATTGAAACCAATGCAAACGTACAAAACTTGTTCTTCTTGCGTATTCAGATAAACTAAACTCACCCTTAGAGGAAATAGCACTGCTGCTGATAATGCTCAAAGGTAATTTTAGCACTCTGACAGAACAAAAATTATTCTACCTTTTCTCCCAACAAGCCACTGATTATGTGAGTTACCTTGACCTGCGTACAATTGTTCAGTGGATTGACACAGGTCACAGCCTACTACCTCATCCGTAACATGAACACTGTTAATTAATCCTTTAGGCGACACCTTGTGCATCTGTCACCCATTGGGCAGAATGAAGCATATGAAAATCAAGTAAGAAGGCAATACCTAAAGAATACGTGATTCAACAACTCAGGCATGAAAATACATTCCGTGGTACATTTTACCTATATCAGACACAATTAACAGAGGTTTTTATGACCTAGACTACGGCTTTAGACGAATGCCCATGAGCCCGGCTTTCTGGCCATGGGGTGTTTACGATAAACCCCCGACGTTGTTGATTGGCACGTAAACGCAGGTATTTTATCGGACATTTTCCATGTGACTTGTGACTGGATATCTTCTTACCTCGGAGCTCAGGATGACTAATCGGCGTGTTAGTGTTTCCTGCTGCGAGTATAGCGGAAAGAATGTCTTTTTTTGTGAGGAAAAGTATCGCGTCTTTTCGGGAGAGAGGCAGGGAATCCAGCACAAACCGAAAATACTCAAGACTTTCATCCAACTTCGTTTGCAACTGTGGAACAGTACTTGGTTCTATGAAATCAACGAGAGAGGCGAAGAAGAGAACCACATTTACGGTCTCAAATAAGTGGATCCATTTTCGGCGGTTGCCTTGTTGATCTCCGACATTAACCAGTCTAAAAACAAAGCAAATCACTTAAGTGATATCATTTTAAAATCAAGAAAATATCGGCGAATTCGTAAAAGTATGGTAGAATGACTATTGTGTGGTTATGACCATTCCAATGTTTTGGTTGACAATAATTTTTTGCGTACTACGCTTATGAAAAGAATAGTACACGTTGTCCAGAATGATAATCTATTTATCTCAGCAGCCATATTTTGTTTGCAAAGACTTCTTACATGTTCATCAAGGTTTTACCTAATGTGGAAGGCGATTTATCGTAACGATTTGAAAAGCACATAGTGGTTTGTCAGGCTAATCAATCGTAACAATGAATGCATTGCCAAGATTCGACCTTTCAAGTTTTTGACAAATTTTGCCTTGGCATAATAACTCATATTTATACACACCGCCTTTTTTACACATGTAGGACATCAACTTCCTATTGGCCAATTTACCTTTTACTCTGACCTGCACTCAAGGCCACTCACACCACAATTAAGTGCGCACCTCTCAATGCGTACCCGGCATTCGGCTGAGGCGGTAACAGCTTTCTGCACGGGGTCATGTCTTGTCCTACTGGCGGGGGCGCTGACTCACATCTCGTTTGCTTTTCTCTGGCGCTGGGGCAGCCTTTTGACGTGTGAAACACAGGGGTTCAACCACTCGCACTTGGGACCTTCCATTTGTTTACCGGTAAACCGTAACAAAAGCGAATCCCTCTCAATTCAAGTGAGGAGACTCGAGTCTTTCAGGGAACTTTTAGCTGGTGAGTGGAGATATCAGCATCAAGTACTTTCTTCAAACATGGTTAGAGAAGAGGCGGTATTGCTAAAATGCTGATTTTCGTGACTGATTTATCACAGGATTTAGCAAAGTCAAAATGTGAGTTGTACAATCCAAGTGGTGAATTGTTGTCAACTCTGGTCGAGCGAGCAGGAAGCAAAAGTAATGCACTGTAAGTGGCTTCGAGGTGAAATCTGCACATGTTCACACATTTGCATGTTAGGTCCGGCTTACACGGACACTGAGCAGGTGCTCTGTACTTTGCAAACAATGCTCCACATTAAATAAGCAATTGTGGTCTTTGTTAAAAGATGAATGTATTTACGTAATCACAGAATATGCAGCTTCGCTTAACCTGGACAATTTTCGCAATTTACCTCAGTCAAGACGAAGAAACACACGAGGATTTGGAAACAAGGCCGACATTATTAAAGCGCTAGCAACTAGTGGTCATTAAATGAACTTTATATTCACGCTTGTATCCGAGATTTTTATTCGACGTTGTGGCGAAAAAATCCTTTCATTGAGAAATAGATTTAACAATAAGTGGGTGTTCAGGAAATGTAGTGCTGTAATGCTACTACAAAACACATAGACCTGTAAAATTTGAGGATGCGAACTGACCAAAATTAGGGAAAGCACAAAACAATGCCGCTTTTCAAACGCATAATTAGCGAATTAACATCTTGGAGAGACTCGCCGATTTCACTCGCGCTATCACATACACAAAGCCCTTCCGATGCCTACTCCTAGCTTAAGGAAGCATATGCTAGAGCAGTATCCAAAACCGGTTGGACATATTTGTATATCTCTAACCTTTATAGTGTTAAATTTCACACAGACTGCCCACTCTTAAAGTCTACTGCATCATTCATTGGTATCGGTGTACACAGGTTATCCGTGAATTTAATATGCCATGCACAACCTCCAATCATCCTCATTTTCTCCCGTGCCCCTGGTGGTTGAAGAGGCAGAGAAACACCACACAAATAAGAACAAGCTCTCAAACGCCTTGAAAGGGTGTCCGTTATGTTGGAAATTCCAACGCTTTTCGCCCCAAAACCTCAAACGTCGAGTGTGGTTAAAGTCACCCACAAATTCCAAAAATTTAACCGCGTGTCTTTATGAGTTTTCAAGCTGCTCCGCAACTGTCGGCAGAATCGGTAGCTGGTGTTATTAACTTGCTACACCCACCGCCTTTATGAAACCCTTACAAGAAACTGAAATCCGATTGGATGGACGGAGTCAACCTACGACTTTTGTTTTTGGGTACGAAGTTGAATGATCGACTTCCACCTCAATCCACGTGTAACATTCTAATTCGCGTTGGCATTATCAAGCTTGACGACCCCTTTCTCAGCGCCCAGAAGTGGAATAAGTGTCTGACGAACAGCACAAACATCATTCCACCCTTGCAAGCCCAAACAAGCAACTAGAATGCTTCTTAAAAGGGCTAAAACATTTAGTCACCACCTCAGAAAGAAACAAGGGAGCGTGTGATTGATTGCTAATTAAAACAACAACCTTCGTCCTCCCACATTTGTTTTATGTAGTTCTATTTTGGTACTTTATTGACGCTGTCCTTTGTTCATAGTGTCCCAATCGGACCTGCGGGAGCGTCTGCTCATGCACCCCCGTTCATGTACCTCACCCGCCATCCGCCTCACTTATCAGGCCATTCGCCATTTGTACTTTTACCAGTTCACCCCAAATTGTAAGGGTCAGCAGCTATACCAGCAATGCACAACTTTGAATACAACTTAGTTGAGGTGCCCAGTAAATTGTAGTCTCAGCCACTCCAGTCTTCATCTTCACAGGAATCTGTGCGGAGTCGTCGGGCCAAATTCAACGCGGTAGTACCGGCGCGGTTCACGACCATATGCGGGGGCCTTCAACAGTACCAACGCCATCACGACAGCAATTCACGGTGCCATGACTGCCGATGCAGTCACCTTTTATGCCCATAAACCGGCGACTAGTCCTGCAACTAGTCGCCTCATTGGAAGCCATGTTCCTGTGTTAGAACCACTCCTGTCTTTGTCATCAAGCTAATGCCACCCTACACACATCAATTTTTTTACATGTTTCCTAGATTCCGTATTAATTTGTGGTTAAAATGCACAGCACAATTCGAAA